TATTCCAAACAATCTGACAGCCGAAGCAGCTATCCAAGGTCGCGTTTCAATCCCAAAACGGTGTGATGCAACATTCCCTCACGAAAATCAATGAAAAATTAATATCTACAGTTACTCTATACAAGTTACACTACATACATACTTCTTGACCTATTCAAATTATGACCACTTCTGATCTTTTGCAAAAAAAATACTTAAAGCAGTGACTACAACAGCGGATGCGCAAAGGGGAAAGCAAGCGTCAAGCGTCGGAAGCAGTAGCCAGGCGGCCAAGGGAGTGAGTTGTAGCATTTTTGCGGCAATAGAGTGATTTGCAACGTAGTGAGGCTCCAAATCTAGAAACCGTAACGCCCCAAAACCGCTCCGCCCACTAGAGTGTTGCCAGTAGCAATATTGTCGCCTTCCATCATGAGAGTCTTTCACATCGAATGGCAGTTCTTTTAATTTGTCTAGGTAATGCGGTACCAAGCAAAGCAGGTTTCCAAGCACGGCGTGCCTTGGCATGATGTCGGCTAGCGGAGTAATCACGTCTTTCTGGGTTGCTGATTCGTTCATAGCTAAAAATCAGCGGCGGTCAAAGTGGTCCCATTTTATGCCTTCTCAACGATTTCCCTACTTTTCGCCGCTGGCCTACCATTTAGCACCGCTCCTCTCTGTGCCCACCTGCAACTTAATTATAAGCCAAAAGACGTATCCCGAAGGCAAGAAATGGGTCCTCACTAAGCGACTTTTATTCAAGCTCTCACCTGCGCACAATGTCCGAAATCCTCAAATGAGCTACTGCTCAAATTCCCTCATACATGGTCCTCTCCACCCATCGTCAGACACGAATCAGGGTCAAGTGCTCGGCGCAGATTTCTGGAGGGTGGGTAAAAGGAACACTCTAAGCATCAGTGCGCCTTCGAACAGGACATGCGAATAAGAATTTTGAGAATTCCTCCGCTGCTTTCCTCCTGTGGGGTTTCTAAAAAAAGGTCACAGAAAATGGGAAGCAGAAGAGTGGGTTATGATGGAAGACTGCGAGAGAGGCGGTGAAAAAAGGGGTAGCGCCTGACAGATTACCTCGTCTTACACTTGTCTACCACCCGAAATAGGATGGGAAAGAAGCAGGAAAAACCAAATGCAGCACTCAAGCTCTTGATAGGAAAATAACTTCGAAGAAAACTCACGCACTACTTTTCCCGCTAGCGCGATTCACAAAGGTATCGAGACGTCGGCTTCCAGCTTTCAACGTCCTTATTTTATAATCTTTCGGTAGACCATCATCTCCAAGTTCTTGGCTTCTGAGAGTAACACTCGCATGGACACGACGACAATTGACAGCGCAGCGCCACCGAATCGCGGCATTCAATCGGCTTATCACATTCACATTCATTGCCCTGCGTATTCTCCTTATAGCAACGTAAAACGAACAGAGAACTGAGAAAATATCAAGGGCTGACACTTCGGAAATAAGCAAAGATGTTGAAAAAATATGACAGAGCGTCATACTCGTAAAGAAAAAAATACGTCACATTATGATAAAATTTTATTATTGAATCCGAGTCTGTTCAACCCGGTTCTGCAAGAATTTGAATGAAGGCGCGTCGAAATGCATATGAAAGGATTCCAGGTTAAAAGTCAAAGAGAAGGCACGCACATTATAAAACCAATCCGTCAATATCATAAGGTTCAAAATCGGTTGTGCCCTAAAGGTAGCCCAGAAAAGTGCCAAAGCACGTGAAGACTCCTCACACTTATACTATTACGACCTGTTAACGAAATCGAAGCAAAAAAAAAAAAATAAAAAAAAAAAATTCACGGCTAGATCAAGGAAGAATTATCATGAAATCGGGGGTACTGAGCAAGCAGAGCAAAACAAGAAGTACCAACATTTAACCATTCAAATGCTGATTTATCTAAGAACATACAGCACATTGACTCGGTCAAAATTGGCAAAAATAGGGTTAGAGAGGGTTAGAGTAGAGTAACCTTGGTTGGGCAATAGGGTTAGACGGTTTCTTAAAATTAGCCCGCCGTCGTGTGTTTTTTTTTCGGTAGTGCAGTCAACCCACCTCCCAGGGCTACACATATATTATCAGGCCCATCAGCTGAGATTTCCGCTAGCTTCCTTCGTCTTCTGTAGCTTTTCGCTTAGATGCAGTCGTCCCTTTCTGGTGTATTTACGCCACATCGCGATCTGCTGCACCTGTAGCAGACACGCGCTGCTTCGCGGGCATCCTTAGCCGTTTCGGCAACGTCCGTGGTATGGGAGGAATGACGGTCTATGTGGTTCCACCGAGTAGCTTCGAAGTTCACAATACCACTCTGTCCCCCACCCCATTCCACCTTCAATCGAGGTCTCTACGCGGCTCGGACCACGGTAAGTCCACCTTAATGATACAAATTTCAAATTTTCTAATTTTGTTAAAACGTTTTTTTGTACGCCTGAAAATTACCTCTTTATTCTCATCCCAAGTCTCCCAAAATACGGTGCTATGCTAGTTCTGCATAACGGCTGGTCTTCTCCGTTGAGATAGCGACAAGAATTGCCAGAAAACAGAAGCTTTCCACAACTGTGTGATTCACTTTGCTGGGAGTTACTGAATGCATGCGTCCTTGATGATCGTACGCCACCAAATTACTGATTACATTTATAGCTTGATCAAAGCCAAACCCGATTTAACCTAATCCATCGCTTTCCTTCTGGTAAATAGCCATGGAACGTCTTCTCGCCAAGGTACTTCTTGAGATGCATCTTGGACTTCAACAACCTCACCAAGCGCTGATCTTCTCGATGCTGTCGTCAGTTAGTGGCACAGTCATTTCGATACGCGCCTTTAACCACCTTATTCCAAAAGCGCACTGACCACTAGTCCTGTCTCACCAGTGCTCAGAGACACCGGCATGCCTTCAAACAGATGATCTTGGTCTCCTTCTTGAACAGTGAGTTGCACACAATGCTTCTTGCATTCTCCACTCTCTCTGCTCGACCGATTCGTAGTCGTCGGACAAAGCGGCGCAGTTTCGGCACCTTGAGGAATTCCTGGAAGTACATGGAACATAAAACGACATCCACGTCCCTGGTGATCCAATTTTGAGGCTATGTAGAAGGCGTTACAGCGTGTATAGACCGGTCGATCGAAGATCATCCAGCAGACGCATGGCTCTTCTAGCGAAGCCAGTTGCTCAAATTCGTCAGCGTCTGGTCTCAGGAATTGGCATTCGGCCATTACTGTATCGAAACCGGTTGAGATGTGTACTTTCATACCCGAAGACACAGTGGCACGATAGAAAGACACTGCCTTCACAGAAGCGATGCACGATTTCACCTCCGTTAGCGTGCCAGGTGAGCAAACTGAAAAGTACAGTTCTTGAACTTTTGAAAATATAATAGCTAGGGAAAAGTGAAGTTCAGTAAACCGTAGCATTTTTCACACCGGCCCCATCCCATGAATTGCAAAAATTGGGATTAATGGTAGTGTTAAGAAAACACGAACCCATGGTCCTGGAGATGGAATCTGCGTTCAGCTGCTGCACCAGAATCGCTACACGTTCCCCTGCTGTTACCTAAATTACAGATGTTCTCTCTGAAAAAAAAAAGCTTTGACAATCCTATTAGAGCTTTTGTCACAGTGACGCGTCTTCCTCAAGTGAGAATCCTTCTGAAGGCAAGGTCTTCGCTCTAAAAAAGATCTCACTTAAGGAAGGCGTACTCAGCCTTTTAGTAGTTTATACCACGAATAGAGGTATGTGGTTCGCCATGGCAGAGGTTGCGCCACCTTCGCACCTCGCAACTCGTCACTAAGACGCTTTAAAGGACGAATTCACGATGAAAAAGCAACCCATTTCAAATTAACCTAGGGATGGTGAGTGGTACACGAAAGAAGGAAGAACCATGAGAAACGGCCCAGAACCCGAGAAATGGGACCCCTTCCTTGCCCGTTGATTTGAGCATTGATGCGACTCTCATCGCTCTAGCCACGTATAGACCTGCGGCGAGTGATCAGATGATCGGTGGGCGTGCACTGGCCCACCGCGCCAAGATTGAGCCTTAATAGGTCGCCGAGGTCAACTCCTTCGGTGCCAATTGCGCTTCAGTCCGCACCCTTAGGAGGTCCGCGGGTCCCTCAACTAGGTGAATTACTCCTTCTTCGACCTTCATTCTAATCGTGAATTCGTCCTTTAAGGACTTGATCAAATTACACCAAAACTATCAGAGTCCGCCCACCGTTCGATATCTTGTCTGCTAACATTATCTGCTATGCTCTCTCTACTCGGACTTCTAACCCTCTCCGCGCTCACATTATCTCTCATCTCCGTGCCTGCCTCTTAGGCTTCGCAGCGTAGAGCAAAAAAGCTCGTATTTCCAGAGTCCTTTACGATTTTCTTTCCTTTTTCTTACTATTGCAGCCATCGAGTGATATTACCACATAAATTTTATCCTGATCGTTGCCTTCAAGAATTCACCCAACGATAAGCTGAAATAGATGGAATATTCCCATGCATATGCTTAAAGACCCGTAACCGTTGAGATCACTTTTGTGACTTTAGTTCTGCGGTGCAGGCGCCCTTGGTGCTTCATAGCGTAATTCTGACGTGGGCTTTTGCGCAGGGATATGTCCCAGCAGAAATTCACTCTACTCTTCCGCCCTACTGCTGCTCCACAAACAGGCCGCCATGTTTTTTTTTTCGCCATGAGTTCCCACGTTGCTCAAATGCATTTGTAGGAGGTCCAACCTTTGTAGAGTTATTATTATTACACTAGCGAGGCTTCTAGCGGCTACATTCCCACACTCGAGCCCTGCCCTGTCCTCTTTCACGAAATGTGTCTTCGAACCTCGAGCACAACCCTTGTTTAGAGAATAAGATTTGGTTACTCGTTACAGGTTATCCTTGAATGCTCAATCTTTCAAAAAACAAAGTCTCAAGGCCTAATTTAGCAGCTTTTCTAATGGTAACTCGCTTCGAGGGGTTCAAAAAGGCATTTCAGCCGTATAGAGAAGCAGCAGCTGTTCAAAATCATTGTGCTACAGGTCCTGAATTAAGTAAAAAGGAAAGTAAAAGTAAAGTAAAGTAAAAAGTAAGTAAAGGTTAAACGTAATGAAAAAGCAAGAACAACGTCGAGAGTTGTGAGACGATCTGAAAGAAAAAGTTGGAAACTAAGTGGAGAAATTGCAAAGGGCGCATTCCGCAACTTCTTGGGAAAATATAACACAATCACTCAGTCTTCTAAGAGAACAACAGGTGATTATTCAAAAACAAAAAATATTCTGACCAATGCAAACCTTTTCAACAGGCTGCTTCCATGATTCAAGTCCTTTCACTTTCTTCTTCTCCTTCAGTGCAGGTATTTCAATTTCCTGATCCAGTCTAAATTGAAATTTCTGATAATACACCAGTTAAGTTCGAAGCGAGGGTCATTTAGACTGAACAACGCACCGTATGCAGCCTTCGATTACTGTGCCAGTCATTACCGTACCTTTGCCAGTGACAGGGAAGCAGTGATCGACAGCAACAACAAGGCTGCAAAATTTTATTTGAGCTTGGGATAACTTCTCCAGTGATTCTGCCCAACAGCTCACAGCGCCCGAAGCCCAACTTATGCAGAGCTCGATACAAAATCGTACATAAGAATCACACATATTCTGAAAACAACTAATCTTTTCTCGTCTTTTCCATTATGTCCCCTTATTCATGCCAAACCCTACTACACTTCCTACTTTTCGCTCCATTGTATTGTACATAAACACCCACTATGCTTCTTCTATTTTCATCTTTTCTATTTAGTTGGTCTTATCTATTTTATATTAGGTTGGAAGGAAAGTTCCTTAACACTTGTAGCTCAATTTTTGAATTTATTTTTTTATTCTTTATTTATTCAATGATCCATAACATATTGACCATTAGATACAACAACACTACGCCAACCTTCGGGCATTTGGGTGACACCGCAGAAATTAGAAATTAGGAAGATTTTTGCCAAACAACCTTCTGGTGTCGGATTTGCGCTCGTTTACGTCGTCGAGCTTCCTGTTCTCCAGGTAATGAGCAAGCGAGCAGGAAAGGTTGAAGAGGTGTATAGATAGGTTTGACGAATATGGCAGACGGGCAGCCGCGGTCCTGCCTGGCTTCAGAGTCTTGTGGCTTGAGACCGAACACCCGCGACGTTGCGCGTTGTCGTGAAGCAGGTTGACTTGTCGCTATATTCGGCGAAGCTCTTCTGCAATCTTTTCGAGCAGCTAGCATTGTGAAGCCCTTGTACTCGTCAATCCTCCAGACAGATCATCACCCGTGGGAAATACCGTCAAACGTCAAAATGGGCAGTAGTCGTGTGTTGCGTCAGAAAGATCAAAGTCTTCGCTGCGGAGCGTTTAAACCAAGCCGAAACCGCCATGTGAGAGAACGTGCCCAGGCCTATCCCGGGACTGATCCTGACCACCTCTGGTGGGCAGATCTCTCTAGGCGGAGCTCTTACAGAATGAGCGCTCGGAGTGTCTGGCGGGAAAAGTTGATTTAGTGCCATGCAAACGCCATTATTGGGAAAGCTGATTTGATCACCGTACGTAGCACGGTCCACTCCTACTATATACCATATAGAATTTCTTCTTGCTCCTTGTGCTTTGCCACGCGGGTCTTCTTGAGATTTATTGAAGCCACTACTCCAGACGATGTAGGCGAACACGAAAAACTGAACAGTGAAGAGCTGCGGCCCTTTTATACGGCTAAAGTGGGCGGGCCGAGCTTAATGGAATACTATGTTGTATTACAACAATCCTCGATCAGCCACCAGATAAGCTTTCTACATGTTACAAATGAGTCAGCAAGATATCTATGAACTAAAGACATACAAATGATTTTACAAAATGAGGATATGATTGCACTAAGTCAAATTCAAGATCATAGAGAAGATTCTCTATTATACCATCCCATGGAAGATTCCAGAGCATTCGGGAGAAATCCAGAAAGAGCGCGAATTGAGTGTTAAGGAACTTTCCTTCCAACCTAATAATTTCCTTCCATTCCTTCCTTAGCGGTA